ATCAGATATTGGTATAGTGAGCTGTCCAAAGGAGGACATGGAAGCTACCAATGTGAAGACCCAGGAAATCTTCATAATGCATGGATGTTTCCATCCCAAGTTCAATAACCAGAGACTGTATACCAGCCAGAACAAAGGTAGGTAAGTTCTGGTGAGTGTCAAAGCCACCATCCTCGATGAAACCTAGGACATCAAGGACTACATCAGCCAGATGGAACCCAAAGATGAGCTACTGAGAATGCCTGAGATGGAAGAAGAAATGGAAGGAAGATTAAGCAAAGGAAGTGCCATGACAAGATAAAACCCTGGATGGGACATACCATCGACAGATAGCTGAGGTGGCAGACACTGGGAAATCCTACCAATGGCTGAAAAGGGCTGGACTAAAAAACAGCACTGAGGCATTGATCAGGCACTGAGTAAAAGAATAGGCACTAAACATCAAATCCATAGATGCAGTAGTCTACCAAAGTAGATAAGTCCCAAGGTTCAGACAGTCCAATGCATAGTGGCAGGGTGTAAGGTGCAGGCAGGAATAGCATAAACTGAATGGCACAACCCAAGAACCTAACACTACTGTATGTACAGGAACAACATGAGCTGTGGTGGCGCAGTGGTTAAAATGCAGTATTGCAAGCTACTACTGCTGACTGCCAGCAGTTTGGCAATTTGAGTCTCACCAGCTCAGAGTTGACTCAGCCTTCCATCCTTCCAAGGTCGGTAAAATGAGGACCCAAGTTGTTGGGGGCAATATGCTGACTCTGTAAATGGCTTAGACAGGGCTATACACTACCGTCCCAAGGCCAGATAGAAGATTTCACAAAAGGTCATGAAAAATAATGGCTAACATCCTGTGGGACTTCCAGATCAAGATACAGATAGATGCTGGCCAGTCAACCAGATATCGTGGTAGTAGACTAGAACCAGAAGACAACAGTGGTGATAGTTGTAGTGATGCTAAGTGTCAGCAACACAAAATACAAACCACCATATTTAAATAGTAGTTCCTTTAAAAAAAAAAAGCCATATTTACCTTTTGTAGCAAGAGCGGTACATTTATTCTAGCATCAACTTTTGTGTATCATAGCCTTGCTGCACAGCCTTGTTGTACAGACTATAATCTTAGAGTATAGATACACATAGCCATTGCTGAAAAAAAGGAGGGGAATGAAAATGGAGAAATGAGAGACAGAATTATGTATAGAAGAGTTCACTAATTGAGCAGTAGCTCAAATTGATTTAAGCAGTCTTCCAAGTTTGCAAATACCTTGGGTATTAAATTACACTGATGCTGAGATATATTCCATTTTAATTTATTATTGTGTTTATAGGGGAAGTCTTTAGTACAGAAATTTATAATGTACGTATGTCCATATGCATATACAAGAAATCAAGGTTAAGCTTGGAATTATTGTAAAAGAGCAAATGTCACTGCAATCAAAAGATAAAAATCAAATCATTTGCGCGCGCGCAGATACACACAAAGAGATTTTTATCTTTTAGTTACAGTGACATTTGCTCTTTTACAATAATTTGTATATACCAAGAGAGAAAGAGATGAGAGAAATCTACACAAACTTGCAAAACCAGCCAATTGTGGTTTTTTCCATTTTCAAGCAGGTCACAAATTGACCATGCACAATAAGAATCTCTTCAATTATTCTTGATCATCCAAGTTTTCTGGATCATACAATGCTTTTATCTGACATTTCCAAAATATCTTATTGTACTAGGAAGGCTACCTAAGCTTCTGATAGGATTCAGAAGTGCTTCAGAACTCACAGGAACAAGCATCTCTCTACTATTTATTAAAGTAGCCTGCTCACACAAACCTTTTAAAAAGACACCACTGTTTTGAGAAGTTGACACATCAAAGTTAATATGAAGCAGCTTATTTTTTTTCAGTTCCTTGAGAAACCCTTTTTTGGGGGAAGGGGGCTACTTTAATTAGGAAAGTCCAAAACAGTTCTCCCAGTCCTAGCTAGTACTTGTCTTTCAGGTGAAATAATGAATTAAATTCACTTCCTTGCACAATTAGCAAAGAAAATCAGTGTAACATTGAAACAGATACAATTCCCCTTGTGTAGAAAAACATAATGTACAGAACTTTGAGAGAAAAACAGGCCGTTTGCTGTAGTGATTGAACACATTGGCTAGGGACTGATACATCATGAATCTGAGTCCTGCCTTAGGCACAAAGCCAGCTGGGGGATTTGGGGCCAGTCACTTCCTTCCAGCTCTAGGAAAAAGGCAATAGCAAACCTCTTCTGAAAAACCTTGCCAAGAAAAATGCACGGACTTGTCTGTGTAGTTGTCAGAGTTATTCAAAGGCACCAAAAATAAAATAAAAATATTTTTTTTGTTTTTGCTAGCAATAATAATAACATATTTTTATTACTAAATGCCAATGTTGATACTTTATTTTATCCCTACTTAGTCTTACTTAAGGCAGCTGGACATTCAAAGGCCAGCAAGACATGTGTTTTTTTTTATTCCAGCTTACTTCAAAACAGCTGGCACTGTACCTAATTAAACAGTACCACTATCACTCTCTGTCCAAGCCGGTTGGCTCTTCTAGACTGGATACTAACCAATAAAGATTTAGTTAAGAAAATGGTAGCAGTAGGTGACTGGTCGCTTAGCCACCATTCAACCATAAAGCTACTCCCCCCTCCAGTTTCAAAGTTCAATGTTACCCCCCTGCAATCACATGACTGCATTTTGAACGCTTGGCAACTGGCCCACATTTACAGCACCGCATGGTCACATGACCACAATTTCCAACGATTTTGCCAGAAACCGACATTTATTTCCCATTTCCAGCCCACAGTGAACAACCAAACTTCACTTAATTGCCACAGGATTATTTGTAGTCAAATGCATTGTCCCGATCCTCAAAATATATATTTTAATAAATTCATAGAAAGTATAAATAAGATATTATGGCATGAGAAACTAGGTTGAAAAGTTGCTCAAGGGCAGCCCTGTAAAATAACACTAGGAAATTCCTAAAGAAGAATGGATATATAACTCGGTCATATCCTTTCTGCAGTAGGTGTGTTTCAAGGACTTATGATGCAACAATTTGACCTGCAACTCTAGCAAGATTTGGAAACATAGCAAAGTGTATTAGAAGTTATGGATTTATTCTAAAGGGCTAGAAAGATCCACTATCTTCTCTGCGTTAAGAGACAGAGAGATCTTGAATACTACCAAGTCCTGAAAACTAATTTGCTGAATTAGTGGCAGCAAAAAGTAACAGCAGCAGCAACCACATATGATCTTGTTTTTGAAATCTAAATGCAAGATGTATGACAGTAGTTGAGATAGATCTTCATACTAATAAATTCATACTTCAGGAACCATACACCCTTCTACTTATCAATTACATTTTTCCAAGTACAGTCTTCCCTCTACTTTTAGCATAATATTGGTTAATCAAATGGGAACCACTAATGCTTAATTTATCATTTGTACGTTCAGTAACATGAACAAATAAAATTGATGGTAATTTCAGGAGACAAGAATATTGCACTCTATAGACAGTCAAAATGACAGCAGTTGCAAGCCTAACAAAGGTTTGGGTACAAAGCACAGTTTTAGAAATACACATCACCATCACTGTATATAATTCTAGATAATTCCATAGCTTTCCAAAAGGAAAAAAAAAAAGTCAAAATAGCTTCTTACAAACTAAATTAAATCTGGTTGCCCAAGCTGCAAACCAAGGGTTGCATGAAGTCCTAAGGCAGTTCTAAAATGCACAATCATAATTATTTGTAACACAAGGAAAGGAAAATGATTCATTGCACAGAGGCTAATCATGTTAACTATATTAAATCAATTTGTTTCTAATTTAATCCAATGCAGTGTTTCCCCTGTCCACCTATTTTCTGGAACACAACTTCTAACATGAAATGCAAAAGCCAAGTAAGACTCCAGATTCCAAAGAACTCTTTCACCATGTATTTGCTTGTGGTATGGGCTAATGTTACAGCGTTACATAAATCCAAATTAATTTCAAAGAAGAGCACAAACAAATCCGACAACTTTGACAGCCTGAATTATAAAATCCTACTTCAACGTTCCTTTACTTTATAGACCTGCAAAGATTATAAACAGAAAGACTGGCTATAAAGTTACTTTATCAACAGTTGTTAAATGAGACCATGGCGAAACAAGAACTACCTATAGTTCTAACATATAGTTATTAGAAATACTAAATGCCCAATGCCAAGATAAGTGAAGTAACTACTGGATTATTTCTTCCATATTTCTAAGTTACTTTCAGAAATACACATATAGAACTATTTTCAAAAAAAGTTCATGAAGTTAGAGCACAATCTTACATGTATGTATATAGTACTGTACTAAGCCCCATTAAGTTCAGTGGAGCTCTCTTTCAGAAAAATGGGTGAAGGATTGTAGCTAATTCTAACAATCCAAAAACTTAAGCTTTCTGGAGATACTTAAAAAGTTATTTAAAAGAGTGAAACCAGTCAAGTGTACATATTGTGTTAGCATATTACTGCATTGCATGAATCAATGCTTCTCTATGAAGTATGGGATATATAACACACAATACAACTGATTCTACTCTGCTGTAATGCAGGCGCTTCGGATCAAAGCATTTAAAAATGGAGTTATTCCATTCCTCTTTGCAAGTCCTCAGAATATCATTTTTATCTTTATATCGTGCCTGACTAGTATATTTGTCAGAGTCCTAATTTGCCAATACTCAAAGCACAGACTGCAAAACAGCAGGCTCAAAACTCTATAAAACAGCAAATACCTTCTCCACATCCCAAAAATAACATGCCAATCCGTTTACCCCTTCCAAGTGCTACAGACTCACGCACACTTTTTTAGAAGTCAATGCAGATTCCATCTACTGCTGGGTCTGATCTGCCCGAGATTCCCCCGTTTGCCTGCATGCAAGGAGGCACGTACTGGAATACAAAATGCCGAGGAGGCCCGTCCTCTCCCACCCACTTACTTACCACTGTTCGCCACGATGTTCTCCCGCAAAAACTGCCCACTGGAAAGATGCTTGAGACCAAAGCTCTTGGCGATCCTCTCGCACACGGTCCCTTTGCCGGATCCCGGGGGACCCAAGACAACGGCTCGCAGAAGCTTGGAAGCCATTGCAATCAATCTACCGAGGAAAAAGAGTCAGAGTCAAGCGCCGGGATGCCGATTCAAAACCTGCGAAAGGAAGATGGAAACCCGTACCCGTGCCGACGGCGAGGAGAAGAGCAGGGATTCCCCCCCCCCCCCAAGAAAATCAGTTTCCCTAACTTCCCCTTCTTCCAAGCCAGAGACCCGTAAAACCACCGGCAGGTCTTAAAGTCACTGGAAGTCTGGCATAGAAGAAACCAGGATCTGAGCCCGCGGTGAGTTGTTAGTGAGAACATTATTTCGACGGCGTTGATGAAGCTAAATTTTCTAACTCGCCACCCCACACCTCCCCGTCACCCCTGGACGCCGAAGAGGAATGCCTGCCACTCAGCGGCGGGAGCGCGGATGGCTGAATGGTGGTTTGTCACTTCCTGACCCTTTCCCCCAGCCCAGCAAGACGCGCGCCTGTGGAAAGGCGAAGAACCGTGTAGAAAACGTTGCAAAGTTTGGGAAGAAGGGACGCCGGGCACTTTCTCTGGCGTTGCACGTGAGGAAGTTTTCCAAAAACGCCTCTTAACGATCGGACTGGGTTGCCTGGAAGACGCATGAAAACTTTCTCCGGGCTGAAGAAACGCTCAAGTTACAAGCACCGGGCTCTTAAGCCCCTCCGAACCCAGATGATCTGATTTACGGCTCCCGTGCAAACTTTTAATTACCGATTGCCATCTCGTTTACTCAAATCGGCCCTCCGCAAATGCACACGCCCCGATTGAAAGAGCTCTTCTGTTAAGCAGACGAAACAACTAACTCACCCCTTCTCTGAGCAACAGAAAGCAAACGCACAAATCCTAAGAGGGGGGGGGGGGCAAAAATAAGTCCGCAAAATGGCGTTTTTAAAATAGTCGACAGATTGTTTCACATATTCGCAATCTTCGTTGAATCAAATAGAAAAGCAACACTTCACAGTTCCGCCTGCGCCTTTAAGAGAAGTGAGAGAAAGAGAGAGTCTCCGCAAAGACAAACTGTTCCCAATTACTCTGCCCAATTGCACGCAGCAGCAACAGACGCCTCAGTATATCATAAGGAGGGAGGAGATCCCACCAGTTGGAGTCAACAGCAAGCGAACTCCGCCCCCTCTAAAGCAAGGTGTCTTGGGTTCTGTAGTCCTGAACGGCACTTTGTCGGGCGGTTTTCAATAACCCTTGCCACTTAGTTCGACTACCAGTTCCAGAAGCCTACAATCTGAATTGCGATCCACCCTTTTCCATTCACCTTGCCATAGGACTGGATGGAGAGAGAGAGAGAGGCTGGAATGTAGGTGTAGTTGGGCCATAAGGGGAGGGGGGCGGTATATAGAATAGGTGCTGCTGTTTTATAATGTTGCAAATATTGGAGGAGATGCGTATGTGGGAAAGGGAGGGGATTAGCCAGACAGAATTGAATCGGTCGTGAGCTTTGTATTTTTTTTAAAAAAAAAAGCATTGTTATTTTTTAAAAAAATCCTTAACCCTGCAAAGTTCTTCCTCAAATAACTATTTTTTTTTCCTTCATCGTTTCTTTTTTTGGTAAAGTCTCTGAAATATACATTACTGGCAAGGAAATCGAAAGAAGTGATGTTTAATGAGAATGATGTCCAGGATGATGGGTGGAAGCGTGTTTCTTTAGAAGCATGTTTAAACCTGTTTGTTTTTTCTAATGAGGTGATTTCCAAAGTTTCCAAAAGTACAAAAATATAGGTGCGTGCTAGGGAAGGTGAAGAAACTTTTAATGGCCAACCTCCATCTTTGTCTCTGAAAATACGATTTAGATTGATTGTGTAACCCACCTTTATTATTTTATAAGTAACTCAAGGCAGCAAGCATACATACCTTTTCCTCCTATTTTCCTCACAGTAACAACCCCAACTGGCCCAAAGTCATCTACCTTAGAGGTCTCCAAGAGGGCACGAGGGACCGGTTCTGTGGAGAGAGGTTTTTCCGTGGACTGGAGGAGGCGTGGTTTTGTGTGCTGCCTGCATCCCATGGATGGGGCTTTGCTTGTTTGTGCAGCCTGGTTGCTGGCATGCTGCGGCCCGGTACTGGTCCACAGACTGGGGGTTGGGGACCCCAATCTACCTGACTTTCATGCCTGAAATGGAACTAGAACTCAGTCTCCTGGGTTCTAGGCCAGTACCTTAACCCCCACACCAAATTTTTGCAAAAGAGACGTGTAACATTTGGTGGCCTGAAGTCTTTCAGAAAAAGATTCCTATCTTTCCTGTCTAAAAAAACAATAGTAGCTAAACTGGCTCCACGATGTAAGAACAGATAAATTGTATTCTGTTGTAATAATTTCTGTACATTAAAATTAGATTTATTTTTTTTTACAAATGTTAGACTCTACCTGAGGTCCTAGGGACTCAAGTTTCTTGTTTCTGCAACTTTTACAAGAATACTATTTATCCATTTAGTATTCTCAAACTTTTGGACACATCATGTGAAACTCTAGCTCTTTTGAAAAATCTATAATGCAGAGAAAATTGGAAGGAAAGAGAAGTGAATGGCCAGCAGCAAGGTGGATAGTCTCAATTACAGCAGAAATGGGTAAGCTGTTGGAAGAGCTGAAGGACCAGTTGAGGTCAGATCTTCCTGGAGAATATCTGTGACATCTTTAGGAGGCAACATGGTACATAATCAATTCACAAGTTTAGGAACTTCTTCCTGCTTTCCAAGGACATGCCCAGATTCTATTTCAATCTCTTTTCTTTTCAATTATTGGTAAATAAATTGGTAGTGTCTATCAATCTATCAATGGTGTCTACCATAAATAAAGTCTCATTGCAAATTTATTAGATCCATGCCTTCATTTGGTGATTAACTAGATCAGGGTCTTCAAATGTGGCCCTTTTATGACTTGTGGACTTCAACTCCCAGAATTCCTCAGCCAGCATGCCACAAGTCCACAAGTCATAAAAGGACCACATTTGAAGACCCCCGGACTAGATCTACCACTATGCCTGAGGAGATTATTTATCAGAGCAAAAGGACCTAAAAGAAATTAGTAGTGGCTTATTTTGGTTTTTTTTTTAAAGCCCATAGTTTAACTTCCCCCACTTTTTTTTTCTTTACTTGCCCTTTGTAAAGATATACACTGAAAGAAGAAGAAAAAAGATGCAATTATAAGAGGGAATCCCTTTTGTTGAGCTCCTGTTGTCTTATCTCCATTTGGAAGCTGAAGGAGAAAGGTAACTTCAAATTCATACTCATTGTGTCAGAGGTCACAGTAATCTTTGAGTTAGGTTAGTTGCTCAATTATTAACTTTGGATACTCCTGAATTTAGGAGGGAGTTCTTATGTGCTGAGTCTTTTATATCTGTAGTGACTAAACAGACCTAATATATTAAATGAAGAGAACAAAGTTTTAAGATGCTTATCCTTGAAAACAACCATCTAAAATAAGACTTAATTTTTCAGTCTTGTAGAACTATTGGTCACGTAAAAAATGTAAGATTTATTCTCCAGCATGATTGGATGGAGAACCCACGGATGGGTTGTCTCAATCCATCTGCTCCAATTGGACTAAGTCTGAAATTGGTAACGCCCCCTCTGTGCCAAGTGCACCCCAGTTTTAGACTTAGTCCTATTTGCTCTAAGACGCGTTTTGTCTTCGCTCCTGGAGCAGAAGACTGTTAGATTCCATTTAATTGCTTAGCTCAGGCTATTAGTATTAATTGTTTTTTTGTTATTGATTTGAATCGATTATTAGCTAGGAAAAGGATCAATTAGACCAGTCTGAAGCCTATTTAGGCTGACAGACCCACACCCCCTTCCCCTGGGGGTGGAAGTTTCCCCTTGTTCGTTTCCCTCAGCTAGGGACAGTAGTTCGAACCTTCAAAATCACATCGCTTTCATCCGGAGCTGCTTTGACGATCCTCCGATTGCCAGCTGATCGTCGGAGGCATTGCCGATCGCACTGAGGGCTCCGCAATGATCGTCGAGCCTCGTCAGGCCGGCAGGGAGCCTTCGCAGGTCCCTCGATCCCAGCCGACAGCAACAGGTGAGAAATTGGGTGCGGCCCAATTTTCGGAGCTCAGCCGGCCTAATCGCATGCCACCAGCTGCTTAGGAGCCCAGGCGATTCATCCGAACGAGGGCTCGTCGCAGCTTACACTCCGGGCCTCAAGGCCTCGTTCCAACGGCCGTTTGTTTTCTGGGCCTTTTTAAGGCGCCAAATTGGCGGCGGCCATTTTGAATTACCTCCGGCGGCCATTTTGGGTGTGGCTCAGCCCGATAGGTGGTTGAGGCCATTGACGGCCATTTTGGGAGTGGCGAAAGTCACTGGTGGCCATTTTGAGTGGGGCTGAAGCCTCGGCGGCCATTTTGTTTGTGGCTGAAGCCCTCGGCGGCCATTTTGAGTGGGGCTGAAGCCTCGGCGGCCATTTTGTTTGTGGCTGAAGCCTCGGTGGCCATTTTGTTTGTGGCTGAAGCCCTCGGTGGCCATTTTGAGTGGGGCTGAAGCCTCGGCGGCCATTTTAATTGTTACTAAATTCATCATCGGCCATTTTGTGCGTGGCTAAAGCCACTGGAGGCCTTTTTGGGTGTGGCCGGAGTCCAGGCTGCCTGGAACCTTCTTCTGAAGGCAGCATTCGATCATCGGTGGCCAACGCTTCAGAGAGCAGCTCCGACCGGGGAGGGCCTGATCGATCCTAAGTGATCGGGGTGCCCACATCAGTTCCCCGCCCTTCCCCTCTAGGGCTGAATTATCTCTGTAGACTCCCTTGGTGAACTACAGCGCTGAGGGGGCGTTTTGCCAAGGTTGAGACCAGAGCAACCGTCATGGCAGAGAGAGGCAGCGAGCCGGTCAAGAGAAGTCGTCAATCAGAGGCAAGTGGAAAGAGCACCACCAAGCGAGCCCGACTAAGCAGGGAACCACAGAGAGAGGAAGGGGGCCAAGGACCGAGAACGGTATCCCCAGATCTGGCAGGCACAAGGGGGAGGTCTATATTTGAGCCCCTTTCTTCACATAGTGCCTCGGCCCCAGGGGCTTGGTCTCCCCCCAGAGGAATTACCGAGTCAGATCCAAGCATTGCTGTGACCTCAGGGAGGGGTATGACTGGTCAGGACACCTCAGGGCCCCAGGCCACATTTACGCCCACTGCAGCAGGGCTTCGCCTCCCTGAGAACCAGGCCCTGAACCCAAACTTGCTCCAGTCCATGATAGCCCAGGCTGTGGCTCAATTTATGGCCTCCAACACTCCACAGCCACCCCCCCAGACCACACATCACTCACTATCTCCGGACTGGATGGATGACCCCACATCGGACCTGGAATCTACGGGAGCTGAACAACCTGACCTGATCTTGTCTGAGGACGAGGGCATCGCCCCATCCGAGCCCACCCCTCCTGTTGGTCTCTTTGACCATTCCTTCTTTAATTCCCTCTTACTCAAAGCCTGTACTACTGCTAACCTCACTCAACAACAGGAGACCCCACCAACATCCCAAGGTCCCCATGGCATTTACACTGAACCCTCTGTCTCACAGAATCATATTCCCTGCCCTCCCCTTTTTCTAAAGATGGTCCAGAAACAATGGGAGAACCTAGGATCCCCCTTGAGCCCTGGGGCAGTAGAAAGACAATTGTTCAATGTCGCTCCTTCCCTGGCCTCCCTTTTGGAGATACCCGAAATTGATGAACCCTTGAACTCATTGTTTCCCAAGTCCAATATTCCTGGGGACATAAATGAGGCACTAAGAGCAGAGGACAAGAAGATCGAGTCTGCCCTACGCAGAGCCCACCAAGCGTCAGCCTGGGCAACGAGGGCGGCAACCTCCATGGCCTTCTTTGCCAGGGCTTCGGTCCTGTGGTTACGGGAGCTCCAGGACATGATCCCTCCGGACCAGCTCAGAGTCCACCAGAATCTGGGTAAGTTGGTGGCCACGTCCCAGTATCTGGCCGATGCCTCCTTACACACGGCCAGATACACTGCCCGGACCATCGTGGCAGACATTTCAGCACGAAGGCTCCTCTGGCTCAGAAACTGGCGAGCAGACACCAAGGCCAAGTGGCGTCTGGCCTCCAAGCCTTACACAGGTGGACAACTCTTT